GTGTGTGTGTGTGTGTGTGTGTGTGTGTGTGTGTGTGTGTGTGTGTAGGTGGGTGGGTGGGTGGTAGGGTGTATTAAAAGTCCCTCGTGACAGGATGATTTAATTTCTGACTGAGTTTTGTAAAATTATCTTTGTGTCTTTGTTTTGAGAGATATTTGAGATTCTTTAGCCTTCCCTCTAAGCCTGTTTTATCACACACAAGAATGCAAACCATCACACTCAGAGTGACTGAGGAAACAGTCAAACCCAATCTGTGTTCTTAATCATTATTTGGGTAGTAAGTATGATTTGAAAATGGTATTTTTTTCAAGGCATAATAAAAAATGGTCAGTTATAAAAACAAAAACAAAAAAGAAAGCGTGTGTATTGGAGATATGCAAATACCTTCAACAGTTCAACAAAAGCAGTGAATCCCTGTAAATCCTCACCTTATCATTCTGTCTTTGAAAATCAGATAAAGATGAGGTGAGCACTTTCTGTTACTGCGTGCTCCTGCGAACAAAACCAAACTCTTCCACTAGAGGGTAAACTTGCATTGTGATAAACCAGCCTGATGGTGCAACAAAGGGAGCACGCTCGTTCAGTGTTACAAGACTTTACTGACACTGAGTGCAACATCACTTTTATCAGAGGAAAAAATCTATCAGATAACGTAGCTAAAGGAAAAGCTCCAAGCTTGAAACAGCATAGGAATGGGTGTCATAGTCTCAGGATTATGTGCTGTGTCTAAAACTTGAATCTTTAGTTAACAAATGTGAGTTTTGGATTTGTGTTTAGGTTTTTCTGTATTTGAATTTAATTTTTTTTTCATATTTTATAATACTGAGGCTCATTTTTATTACACGAGTTCTAGCTACAGTTTTTTTTCATACCTTGTGTCAATTTTACTTCCTTCTTTGCGTTTGTCTTGATTATTTTCACCATGTTTCCTAGTTACCCTGTTTCCCATTTCCAGTCAACCCTCAGTGTGTAACTAGTGCATGCTTTTTGTTGTGTTACGTTCCTGTTGTGCCTCCCTTTAGTCTTTGTGAGCTCTACTGTTTGTTTAACCCTTTGTACTCTGTTTTGTTGCATCTCTGGTTTTTGCGAAAGTAAATTCCAGTAGTAACAAATCAATATTTAACATGAACAATAAAAATTTAAGACACCCAGGAGGAGCTAAAGTTAAATAAACTTTATGAGTTTATGAGTATTTTTTACCATAAACTGAGTTAAGTTTGATAGGATAGCTTTCCAAATTAAGTTTTGAAGGTTTCCCTGCAGATCAGGGGTCACATTTGTGGAAAATGTACTGTTGTCTGGTGTTGTAATGGTATTTCACCACTCCTCGTAGTGGCCAGTGTTACTGCAAAATAAGCAAACTAACATTAAAATCCTTTGCTGTGGTTCTGAATTGCAGCACTTTTGAAAAACAAAGAGGGAGCGTTTACACAAAGGTCAGCGAGCAAACTATCCGCAGTCCTAAACATGCAGATTTTAGTTTGACTGGAAACTTGAGCGCTTGAGGCGAACCCACGCAAATAAAGAGAGAACATTCAAACCCACATGCAAAGGCCTCAGTCAGGTTTGCACAGTGCTGATGCCTCTGAACGACCGATCAGAAAGTGTTGTATAACATGCATTTGGTACTGTAGATCTCCCTCAGTGGGCAGCCCTTTTTTCCATTTGTACCACGTGGGTGTGCAGAAATCAGAATTTTCTGCTCTCAACAACCGTTGCCATGGCAGTCATCGTGGATACCAGGCTGATAGCATGGCAACATAATGATTACAGATGCCTGTTTGTATGACTGTACGCCCCAAAGAAGCAAATTTAAAGGCATTTCTGTCGTAAGTGACCACATGCTAGTGATACATTTTGAATTCTCATCTAACAAACACAAAGAGGTTTATAATAGTGACCTGACCCCCCAGAACGCCCATCTGGCTTTTGTTGTTTACTCCCACCTAAATTGAGATTATAATAGATGTTTCAAATGCAACATGTTTTGCTTGTAGACTAACACCCTGTTAACCTCCTTAATTGTTTTGATGTCAGTCTTAACCTCATGCACAGACAGTGTATTATGACTGACATATGCAAAACCAACACTCAGCCTGACAAACAGCATCACATTTTTGCACAAAGCAACATTCATTCGAATATAACATTTTTTGTGAAAGCTGCACCTGTATACATTTCATTAAGGGTCTTTAAATTCATTTCTGCAGTCGAGTTAGGATGCTTGGAGCTCCAATGAGATGTGAGACTGAAAACACAGGAAAGTGTCATTAAACCAGAGATCTCTCCAAGCTGCTCTCTCCTCAGCTTTTGTTAAACCATTACAATCAGTGCAAAATACTGGTTCTAGAATCAACGTAGCTTAAATAATGAAAAGTAGACATAGTCTTATATCCAAGCTTAATCTTCATGCCATTTCAGAAAGAATGAGACAGCCTTAATCCAGCTATTAACCCATTTTTATTTGCTACAAATTTAGCCCCCCTACCTTTCCTAAGTAGAGTCTTCCATTTTGTCCGTCTGAGACAGACATGCACAATCACTAGCTGCTAATATTAGGAAACCCCTGCCTTTGCATCTCACTTCATTGCTGTCCACTACAACTGTATTTCCACTCACAGTCAGCTTCATCCTGGCAGCCCGAGCAAGTGTTCACAGTGAAAAGCATCTCTGCAGCTCTCCAGAGGCCCTTCCTGACTGCAGATTACGCCACTGAATGTGTCTTTGTGGTGTCTCTGGTTGTGACAGACATTTGTAATAAGAATGCAGCATTTTCAGTAAGTTATAGCAGAAAACAATTACTGAAAAGGATGACTGTAATCGTTCCTTTCTTTCTTACATGTTTTGATATGTATCTTTATTAGTTAGCGCCTGGAAAACAAAAATCCAGTTATATATCCAAAGCCATAAGGAAAACAAAATCTTGGTGGAAAACCTGTGCCTGCTGTGGATCTTATTGAATTGTCCTTGACAGCAGCATTTAATCTCCTTTGTTCCAAAACATTGACCCACTGGTCTTTTAACCACAAGCTTTAACCTGAGCTCCAGTTCCACATGAGGGGGTCCAGGCCCGTTAAGGAAAAGTCTGCCTGGGCTGAGTTTGTGTGGGCCGGGAGAAAGTTTCCACATAGAGACACAGGGTATGAGTAAGTGTGTGTTTAGTGTATTAAGAGTAAAGTAATCTGGCCTTTGCCACAGAGATCTGTTGTATTTCATTACACTGATTAGACTCTTCATTCCTTCTCTTGGGCGGTGACCCATGTTAAAAGCTTCTAAGTTACAGTGGACCACGAATTCTAAAATAAATTCTAAAATACATTATTAAACATTTGACCAAATATTTTTGATTTAATTAATTTAAATGAAAACATTAAAAAATATTTAATTAGCTCCCATTTTAATTAATTAATGCATCATTAATTATATTTTCTATTCATTTTGGCACTTGGGGCCTTCCATACATGGTCACACCATCACCTGCTGTGTTCAAAGAAGAGCCTTGCTTTTCTTTTTAGTGCACAATGGACAAAACTATGAGTCCACATCTTTTAATCTTTGAATTCAGGTGTTTTTAGCTTTATGAAAGCCGTGCAATCTGTCTTTACAAGCATTTGTGAGAGAATGGGTCGCTCTAAAGAGCTCACTGAATTCCAGTGTGGTGCTGTAACGGGATGCTGCCATTACAACAAGTTCATTTGTGAAATTTCTTCCCTCCTAGATATCCATGATCAACTCTGAGTGGTATTATTACAATGTGGAGACATCTAGAAACCACAGCAACTTAACCATAAAGTGGCAGACCACGTAGAGCAAGGGAGCAGAGTCGACGACGCTCACAGTTGTAAAAGTTGCTAAACCTCTGCTGACTCACTATTGCTGAGTTCCAAACAAAATTAAGCACTGGGAGCATCATGCCATGCGTTTCCATTACTGAGCAGCTCCCTGGGTGTAATGTGTCGGTGGCCCACTGCTTTTGTCTTTTTAGGGCATTTCAGATGTTTAGATTAGTCCTTTTTAATAGTTTATTAATGCCCACTTAATTTTTGCGTGGAGGAAAAGCTATCAAGTTTTTCACAAAAAGGCAAAAGCAAAAATAAGAGCTTCATCTTGTGCTTTTGTCCTTTTGCCTGCATAAATGTGGACAACAGGCAGATGGATACAGACATCACATCTTCACCCAAAGGTCGCCTTTCATGACTATGTTTAGATTATGTCACATATGTTTCTGTTCCATGATGCTCACACATATAACTGGTTAATGTTCACATATATAACTTGATTGGAGTATCAATATTAACAAGCTTATCTTCTTCTTATAAAACGCACAGAAGCCTTTGTGCAGAAAGGAGGATAAAAGGACTTTTTTGTTGTTTTTGTTTTACTTTTTGCTTGTCGTTTTATTTTGGTAGTTCACCGTTTTCTCCGGTACAGAGCTTTCACACAGATTGTATTTTGAAAGTTTTCCCGGAAGCTACCGAGGGTTATCGCTGGTGACTTGACGCTATCGGGTCTCCTCTTCCACTCTGCGGTTCCTGATCGCTGTCATCATGCAGGTGGAATCTGCGCAGTGTGGCTCAGCGTACAGATCCCAAACACCAGCCTCACCGAGCTGCAGCTCAGGACTCGGGACTCCGGAGATCAGACTGCATTTACAGCTGTAAAGGAACCAATCAAGGAGGGGAAAGCAACAAATTGGATTTTCCCCCTCCGCTTTCACTTGATGACCATCAGCAGTTTAGATACAGAGGCTTCATCAATTTAACACAACATGATGACTGAGTTAAAATAACCCACATATCGAGGATTTCTCTCTGTATCATACTGCTGGAATAAGCTCACACTGCTGTGTTGATACTGTCAAACAGTTTTCCTTGCCTGGCGCAGTCCAACTCAGCAGCAGTCGCATAGGATGCCATACAAGCCTATAGGAAGTGACTCTCGCAGCTTGACAGGGAACAATCTCCGAGGAACCCGAAGGACGTAATCTTTGTCCTGCGGATCTTATCGGTGTAAAAACACTCATGGCGATGGACGAAGGTACTGTCAGCGAGAGCATCCCAGACCTCAAAGACATAGAGGCGAAAATCGGCCGGAAGACCCCCGAGGGTTTGCTCAGGTGGATGCGGGAAGAGTCGTCCTCTCTCCGGGCAGACGCCAAGCTGGCCCTCGCGCACGACACCGGTAAAGAGACCGGGATGAAGAGTTTGGATGAAAAGATAAGAAAACTGAAGATGGAGATGGTAAGAATCCACAGTTCTCATATATGTGCCCGCAGGATGCGTGGCAGACTCTTGTTTTCCAGGATGTGTCATTCACGAAAGTCAGCCAGGTACAGAGCTGTCATTATGACGATGAATGCTGAGCCCGGCTCGGCTCCGGCAGACAGCGTTGTTTCGAGTACTTGAACATTTATCAGCAGATCGGGTTGTCATTGCTGGGGTGTATCTGAAATTATGTGCAGGTACAGAAGCCTGCACAACTCCTGAGAGCCCAGAGACAGAGGTACTTAACATGTTATCTGACTATACAGCATGCCATTTTTAAAATTTCCTTACTTCTCTTTATTAAGTTCTTGTTTTCCGTTCAACTCTTTATATTAAAATAACTGAATGTATAAGTAACAATCCATAAAGTAGTATAACAGTATAATTTTGACCAGATGAACCTAAGCCACGTCATGTTCACATGATCACTAGCCTAACACAATAAACTGTAGTGTAACGCTCCACTTAACAGCAGAGAAAAAAATAAATGACTGTGTTTTATACTCCAAGTCGTCCTTCCTGCTCCCACTGTGCGCTCAGAGCCCACAGTGGGACTCACTGCAAAATGTCAGCATTCTTTAAAATGACCATATAATCTGTATTTCAGAAAGCGCTAAATGCCAAATAATTTTCTTATCCCGTGCCTCTGGTGATGAATGATACTTTAGGACAGTGAGATTTAAGGATGCTTTTAGGGCCCCTGCTAATTGTTAGGCCTCTGGTAAGCTCACTAACCTCAGCTTTTTGGATATTCCTTAATTATTGTGTGGGCTCACACATTTAAAGCTATAATAAGTAAGTGTTTTACCTTAATGTTGGGAATAATACCAGCCTCAGCATGATTTCTGAGTTCGCTGACTCGTAACAGCACCAGTAGCATCTCATTTGTTCCCACTCCTTCCCTCAAAAGTGTCAGTCTGTATGTAACTTGGGAGAATGTATACAGTTTTCCAGGAAAGTACATTTCTAAGGAGACACTGAGGGCAGAGCTCGGCAGATTATGCCTACATGACACAAAATCAAGTAGTTTAGCTGCTGGTTAGACACAAAGCAAGAGCAGGATTACTTTATTCTAATAACTTGCAATAGATGCCAACTTTTCTCTTATGGCTGTTTGTGGCTAAAATGTACCTAAAGTTAGGTGGATGAAGAGTAAACCAACAAATTCTATTCCATATCAAGATGACGATTTTGTGTTTCACGGCACATGGGTGCCCCTCCGTGAGCCTGGTCTGCTGGATGTTTCTTCCTTTTAAAGGGGAGGTTTTCCTTCCCACTGTCTCCAACTGCTTTCATATAGTGGGGTCGTCTGATTGTTGGGGTTTTCTGAGAATTATTGTGGGGTCTTTACCTCACAATATAAAGTGCCTTGAAGTTACTTGTATTTTGATTTGGCACTATATAAATGAAACTGAATTGAATTGTTCGTTGTGCGAGCAGTTGCTATGATTTGTTTCACTACAATTCAGTACTGGAGCTTAAAAGACTTCAAAGTCCAGAGGCCTTTTATTACCAGTTGAAGCTACAGGGGCTGCTGTTATCACTGAGTAGCAAACGTTACATACGCCTGCTTTAAGAATTATACTTGCCAATGGATGTTTCAGCTTTTGGAAAGCTAAATGTTAGCATCAATCTCTCTTTAATATCTTAGATAACATAATTACTATGTTATCAACATGTCAAAATTAGGCAGTTAGGTCAGTGAAGTATTAATGTATTTTGAATCCAGCATAATTAAATTCTACGTTTACACCCAATGCAACACTTGCTGTGTCTTTCTGTACATTTCTTGTATTCTTTGGTAATGTTTTCAATTAGGATCGCCATAGGAGGTAAAATTAAAGATGTGACATTGACTTTGCTGTCGCTGTACGATTATGACAAAAATAATTTGGAATTTGTGGACTGATATCACACTTTTCTACTCTTCCAGAGTACTCAAAGCACTCTATACAACACATTCACTTTCTTTAAGCTTAATGCTTTTTCTAACTACATTCATACTCCGATGGATGCATTGGAGAGCAACTTGGGGTTAGCATTTTGCCCAAGGATACTTGACATGCAGACTGGAGGAGCCAGGGATCAAACCACCAAGCTACCGATCAGTAGGTGACCCGCCCTACCTCCTGAGCTACAGCCTCCCCTAACATGTGTACAAACTAAATTTTAATATGAACATTGCTCTTATTATTAAGTAGTATAATACTAAGTAGTATAAGAAGAAAATCAGGAGTCTACATTCGATTATTAAGATGAATGATTAATGATGAATTTGATTGTGACTAAATGCAACAGATGTAATTTTACTTTGACTGGACTTGAGTAATAAAATGTGAAGGCCCCTTGTATCCACTCATTCAATAATTCAAGCTGCTCTTCGCTCTGCCAGCAGCTGCACTTTGTTTGGAAATAAGTGGAGGTAAAAATGCACACAGGACCGTGGTGAAGGCGCTCTCTTCCTATTGTCTAGCTGCGCTTGCACCATTTATAGAAAGTAATTTTTAACATATTGCATACATTTCTATCTTCAGTCCACTGGGCTTAATTTTGGTGTGATACATACTCATATCATACCTCTGAACAAGACTGTTTTTCAGTTTCTCTTATTAAATGATTCCATCCCTCGTTTATCCACAGCAGGCCGCTCTGTGTTTCTTCAGAACTGATTATTTCTTCTACAGCAGAGCTTCCGTTCAACAAGTACTTCTCTGTTTTCTTGTTTACATCAACCCCACCTCGCGTCAAACAGTGGAGGTCTGTAGCAATAATGCACCACTCTACAGTTGCCCCCCCCCAACCATGTTCATGTATGTCATACATTCCTGCGGCAGATGCAGGCATGCACCCCGTCTCCCCATCTGTGGTTGTGACACAAGAGCGTGTGCGCTGCCACAACCGAACTTCCAAACCAAACAAGCTGTTTTCTGAAAGAGTCGCTCCAAAACACATTGGTTACATTTAAACATCCAAAAACACATTAGCAGTTTGGTCGCATGGTAGAAATAGAAGCTGATTTCACTCCAGGACTCATGATGGTGGCAGCATGTGTCTTAAGTTCGCTTGCTTGGTGTAAACAAAGTTTTCAGAAAGAAAGATGATCGGCTGTCATCGTCACATTTGTTTAGTATTTTCTGCCACATGTCTTTGAGTTTGAATTAGGCTCGTATTCCTTGAGCCTGTGTGTGTGTATATCTTAGGTTAGCTTAAATAGCTGGTGAGTAATAAAACGCTCGCTCTTAGGTTGTTGTATCAGTTCAGGGCTTTTGGTGACGGGTGTGGTCTGGAACTAACTGATGTAGCGGCTCGTGTGAATCCATTGGAAGATGGATCACAAAACCTTTTTTCATTTTTTCAGAAGTGGTGTGTGTGAATGACTCAGATTGTTTTTTCCTTTTTTCCCACAGAAGTCTTAAAAAACCCTTTTTCACATCACATCTGGGCCAAGTGCATATGTAGTTCTACATCTGAGTCATATTTGATCTCTGGACATGTTGACCACAATGTCAACGGAAATACGCATACGCGGGAGGTTTAGTGTGAACATCACATGGATTCTGTAGTTGCAGCTTGCCTGTCTGTAATTTTGTGACCAGAAAGGTGCATTGTAATGGTAAATGGTAAATGGCCTGCATTTGTATGGCGCTTTACTCAGTCCCTAAGGACTGCCACCTGAGCTACAGCCACCCCGTAGTAATGGATGTGTTAGCTCTAAAAAGCAAAAAGTCTGAGTTTTAAGGTGTTTTTTTTCTTCTCATAATACATATATGTATTGTAAACATGGTAATATTTAGATATAAATCAGAATATAATTGAATAAATGAGTGTTAGTGGGTTAGTGTGTACAGAAGAAAGCTCAGCTGCTGTTGTAGGTTGTATAGTACCTAACCTAATTGCATATTGAGCCCACATTTGTATTCACAAGGCATCCAGACTTGCTGGAAATCTGTTAAGACTATAGAAGCAGGCTGGACTGTTAGTAGTTTTAGTCATTTATCAAGTTTTTTTGCAGAAGCGGGAGGACAGAGAGAGAAGTGATAGTGATGAAGAACCGTTTTCTAACTCTAAGGGAGTGAAACTTTCAGTACAGTCCGGGCTGCTCCAGTATGCGAGTGAGTGTGTGTGTGTGTGCCCGCGTGTGTGTGTGCGTGTATGTGCGCATGCAAGTGTGCATGGTTATTTCATCTGTGTGAGTGGTGCTGTGTAATGAGAGTGCAGAAGAAGAGATGGGAGCATCATCTGAAATCTGCTTAGTAAGATGTGCAGTACTAATGTGTGTGCTCAGAGGCTGCAGGGAGATACTAAATGGAAGAGCTCTCTCGTGCACACAGTCGTGCACGCAGCCTAGCAAAGTCACCGTGTTGTTTTCTTCCCCAACATTTTCTGTCATGCTGATAAGCTCAAACGAACAGGCGGGATGTTAATGAGTCGGCTATAAACTGCTTCTTTTTCCACTCTGAAAGTGTGTGTTTGTGTGGACCCTTCTGTTCCTCATTCATCTGTTACTTTGTATCCATAACCACACTGTGTGGCATTGGTGGGCTGCAGCATCTGCCTGTGTAAGATCAACACTGTGCATATTTGTGTGTGTGTGTGTGTGTGTGTGTGTACGTTACCACTAATATTGAAGTGTTACTCTTGTTAAATAGCAGGAAAAACAAGAAGTCATGTTACATTTCTAATACAGTACGTCTTTGATTTAAACAAACATGTTGCATAACTCTCAAGTCCAGAAAAACACACTGATTCGATTGGCCTAAAGTACAAAATATAAATCAAAACAAAACTACAGATCTTTAAAATTAGCCTTTAAAATTGTTATGGTCATTAACATCCTATTTCCTGTTACTTGGATGATAGACATGGATCATCAGAGACTTTTAAGACAGCCAGCTTAGAGTCACCGAATAGTGACGTAGGATCATTATTCAGGAAAGCGAAAGATACGGACACGTTTCTTTGCCCAAATGATACCC